GGATTGGCAAATGTAATTCAATACAGTTAAAGTGTGAGGTGTTGCACTTTGGAAAGTCAAACCAAGGTAGGTCCTGAGGAGTGTTGTGGAACAGAGGAGTACAAGTACATAGTTCGTTGAAAGTGGATAGGGTGGTGAAGGAGGCATTTAGCATGCTGGTCGAGGCATTGAGAATAGGAGTTGGGATGTTATGTCACAGTTGTACAAGTCATTAGTGAGGCTGCATTTGGAGTATTGTGTACAGTTTTGGTCACCCTGTTATAGGAAAGACACAGTTAAAGTATACAAAGAAGATTTACAAGGATGTTGCCAGGACTAATAGCCTGGAGTTATAAGGAGATGTTGGCCAGGATAGGACTTTATTCCTTGGAACGTAGAAGATTGATGGGTGACCTTATTGAGGTGTACAAAATCACGAAGGGTATAGATAGGATGAATGCATATAGTCTTTTGCCCAGGGATGGGAATTGAAAACTAGAGCGCATAGGTTTAAGATGAGAGGGGATAGATTTAAGAAGGACCTGAGGGGCAACCACTTCACACAGCGAGTGGTGCGTATATGGAATGGGCAGCCGGAGGAAGTGGTCGAGGCAGATACAATAGCAACGTTTAAGAAACATTTGGATAGGTACATGGATGGGAAGTGTTTGGAAGGATATGAGCCAAATGCAGGCAACTGGAACTAGCCAAATGGGCACCATGTACTAGTTAAGGCCAAAGGGCTTGCTTCCATGGCGTTTTACTCTAGGACTCTAAGTACAGCCTCATCTTGCTGCTTCTTCTAAAGTGCTTCACCTCACACTCATCAGGGTTAAATACTATTATTTCCATATTTTACTAGCACCATATGAGGCAGCAGTCAAGCATCTTTACGCTGCACATGGATGATTCTTCTTTTTGAGGGTGGGAGCAGTGCATCTCAAAACACTGCCATAGATGAACTTAAGTCAAAATTTGAAGTTAGGTTTCTAGGACATTAAGTACATTGGATTGAAAATCAGGTGGAATGGATTAGGTGTCATTTTGCACTTGTAATCTGACACTACTCAATGTAGGGTCTCTCAAACAAAAACACAGGAACTTCAAAGACTGAAATGGAGGAATAGCAAAATCCAACTGAAAAGTTGAATTGGCTGGCACCCAAACAAGGCCAGATGCCAGTTTTAAAATATTAGCATTGAGTAGAACTGTGACCAATCCCAAGGTGTAAGGTATTATTCAGGTGAACAGAATATTCAAACAATGCGTATACTGAATGAGCTGCCAGAAGAAGTGATAGAGGAGAGTACAATTATAACTTTTAAAAGACATTTGAATAGGAGAGGTTGACAGATATGGGACTATATCAGTTTAGAAAATCTGGTCAGTGTGGATGAGTTGAGCTGAAGGGTCTGTTCCATGATATACGACTCTATGACTTGATTGATTGAAATTAAAAACAAAGGGTTGAGTTATGAAGCTCACATCATTAGGAGATGCTAGAAACATGAAAATTGCCATTTTAGTGATACTTATTGAAATCTCTGTTGGGCTTTGTGAGAAAGGAAAGTAAAATGTTGCCTTTTAGCTTGGGAAGCCAGAAGGATACTAAAGTGGCAGATATTCTCACATTGCTGAGATCATCAACATGGCACTTTACCTCGTGAAAATATTGGAAGAAATTCCAAGAAAGGAATTTGGCAGTCATATCCTTGAGTGCTATATCAACAATAAATCCTTATGAGACATTAGCTTAAAGTATGAATGAAAGCACACAATTGAAGACCTATATTCAGCATTCTGAAGAAGGATCACTGGACCAGAAACATTGACGTTGTTTTCTCTCCACAGATGCTGCAGACCTGCTGTTTTTCCAGCAGATTTTTTTTCTTTTAAGGATATATATTGCAGTTTTAAAATAAATGCTGAAGAATGGAGAAATCTCTATATTGTGATTAATCATAAAGATAAGACATAGGATATAATTGGCCCATCGAGTCTACTCCACCATTTGATCATGGCTGAAGTGTTTCTCAACCCCATTCTCCTGCCTTTTCCCAATAATCTTTCATTCCCTTATCAAGAAACCTATCTAGCTCCATCTTAAATACACTCAATGACTTGGCCACCATAGCCTTTACAGCAATGAATTTCACAGATTCATGATCCTTTGACTAAAGAAATTCTTCCTCATCTCAGTCAACCCTTCACTGAGGCTGTGCCCTCAGCTCCTAGTCTCACTGAAAAGTGGAAACACGTTCGCCACGTCCACTGTATCCAGGCCTCTTCGTATTCCCTAAGTTTTAAAGCAGATCACCCCTCACTCTTCAAAACTCCATGTTCAGACCCAGAGACCTCAACCACTCCTTACATGACAAGCCCTCCAAATTCTTGTGAATTTCCTCTGGATCCCTCCAATGGCTGCACATCCACCCTTGGATACAGAGCCCAAAACTGGTCAGTGTTCCAAATGTGGTCTGACCAGTGATTGGTACTGCCGAGGCTATAGATCTGCTCTTCTATTCCTAACTAGAGACAACACAGTATGGAGCTGGAGGAACACAGCAGGTCAGGCAGCATCAGAGGAGCAGGAAAGTTGATGTTTCCGGTTGGGGCCCCTTCTTCAGAACTGGGGAGGGGGGACGGGAGCTGGGAAATAAATAGAGAGGGGGGGGTGGGGCTGGTTGCTCCTCCAGTATGTGTTTGGCATCATTGTGACACTGGTGGCGGCCCAGGATGGACATCTCATCAAGGGAGTGGAAGGTGGAATTAAAGTGGTTAGCAACCAGGTGTTGTCACCTTGGGAGCCTACAGCCCAATGACCTTAACACAGAATTTACCAGTTTAAAGTCTCCCCATCCCACATCTAAACCTCCCTCTCATCCCTGCCTCCTTGACTTGACACAACCTGTCCATCTTCTTCCCCACCTATCTGCCCTACCCTTCCCACTGACCAATCCCCACTACCCCCTACCTGCAACCACCTATAACCATCCCACCTACCTTCCCCCAGCCGCATCCCTCCTCCCTCTATTTCCCAGCTCCCTTCCCCCTTCCCAGTTCTGAAGAAGGGTTCAGACTCAAAACGTCAACTTTTCTGCTCCATCTGGTCCACTAATTAAAATTCACTAAATTTTCTTTTAGGAAAGGACTCCAGAACCACAGCAATGCAGTTGACTCAAAAAAGATCCATTCATCTCACAACTCAAACTAAATGAAAAAAATTTAATCATACTGCATGTGCCATTATCCAGCAATACCTTCATTATAAAAGCATTAATCAATCATTTTGAATGATCAATGCCAGATTTCAGTTTTGTTGATTCTGAATGGCTTCAGAATACGCCGTGCTAAGAAACTGTCCGAAAGTTCATGAAATGTTTTATCTATGTTATCTTTGAGCACCAAGCTTTTCTAAACTCCAATGATTATCACAATGAATTTCTGACAAGGTCCTATAGTCTTTTCCACTTTAATGCAATTTTTCTAAAAAAAAAGTCTACAAACCAGATGCATAAGTGACTTTGATATCATCATTTCTCATCTTTACCCAAAAAGGTTTCCACAACTTCGGTCATCCCTCTTAACTAATGTCAATTCAAGCAAAACAGAACCACCTATCTACCTTTTCCTAGTTTCTTGTCCTTCTTATATGTCCTGTACCCTACCAGATTCCATCTATTTTGTTTTGAATAGCACATGCATTCAGATAAAGCCTTTAGTATTATAAACTGATTCTTTTTGCAAATACTTTGTCTTCTGTTGACTTAGATTTGTACTGTATTCCTTCCTTTAGCTTCTTACTATAAGTTACCCATCGCACCACAGTTATGCTCTCCTACAAGTTCTGTATCCTCAGCCTGAAGGAAGGGGCTTGAACATACACACCTACAGGTTCAGGAACAGCTTCTTTCCAGTCATTATTAGACTGATGAACAGACTCTCTACCTTCAAATAATGCTGACCTCGCCTAATGCATACTCTGTGTAACATAAGCTGTACGCCTCTGTCTGAGATTTTTTTTCCACCCTATGATCTACCTGTACCAATCATAAACATTTTTTTCACTGTACTTAGGTACACATGACAATAAGTAAAACAAATCAAATACCATTCACTTTTCTTCAGTAAGGGTCACCAGACCTCAAAGGTTAACTCTGATTTTTCAGAGAGGCTGCCAGACCTGCTAAGCTTTTCCAGCAATTTCTGTTTTTGTTCATGGTTTACAGCATCCACAGTTCTTTTAGTTTTCCTTTCTTCTCTACTTAGTGTTAGAGATAACATAAATTTGATGCCACACCCACCTATACTTAGTTTAAGGTCATTAGTTTTGCAGCTCTGAAGAGCAGCAATTCAGGTGGAGACTATCCCAACAGTACACATCCACTCTCCCTAGTACCAGTACCAGTGCCAGTGCCCCACAAATCAGAACCATCTCCTCCTATGATCGCTGAGCAATACAGCTAGCTGGGCTATTTTTCACAGCTCAGGAGAACTGTATCTGACAACATTATCCACTATTTCCAATGAATTCCATTTAAACCTCCTGACTGAATGGTTTTTTGTACCATAGTGTCAAAGACAGTTAGTTCAACGACTTTTGCAGCTCTCATTCTCATCCTGAGAAGCAGCAAAAACCTCAAACTTATTTGCAATTGCAATGGTGTAAAGCTCCTCTACCTCACAACCCTTTTTATTTGCATCATTCAGTTTCAGCCTCCTGCCTGCCTTCCTGCAAAATCACATCTCAATTCTGTTTATAAATGGGGTTTTGAGTCACACCTGGTAGCAGTCCCCGCACCCTACATTCTTCTGAATTGACACTCTCCCCACAAACGCTGCCCAGGACACCCCAAGTGCTTGACAAACAAAAGTAACCAATCCACGAACAATAACTCACCCCGCAGCCCCCCCACTTCCGCTTCTCCACAAACACGGGCACATCTTATTACACCCACCACTCAACAAACACAAATAACTCTTACCACAAACACAATCCCACCCCACCCCCTCACTTTTACCTTTAAACTCAACTGCAACCGGAAATCACTGCCCCGTGATGAGCGCCCTACACATCCGGGTCACAAACATGGGTGGAGCTTCCAATCGGTGGGCGGGGTGTGCCAAACGTGGGTGTGTCTTTTGCGTAGAGGGCGGGGCGATAAAGGGGTGTGTCCTTTGCGTGGTGTGCGGGGTGATGCGATGTGGAACATGCTCATTGCCCAGTGGGCGGGGCGGGCGATAAGGCGGGGTTCCTTGTTAGAGGGCAGGGCGGGGCCGTGCGGGGCGGGGCATTAAGTGGGTGTGCTCCTTTGCGTGGCGGACGGGGTTTTGTGCTCGGTGGATGGGACTGGTGGAAGCTGCTTGACTGCGTAGAACAGACGAGGAGTATTTGTACTTATTACTGCTTACAGTTCAAAAAAAACTATTTTCGAATCAACATGTTCAGACATGTTATTACACATCTTTGGAATAGGTGGGACCTCCTGGCTCAAAAGTAGGGACACTACCACTGAACCACAAGAGCCCTTAGAAAGTTTTTATTTTGTGTTTTACAGCTTGTAAGGGCAATATTCTGTTTTAAAGATGTCAAGGGAAGAAGACTCCTAAAGTAATTGATATAATTTTATTTAAGCGCCCTTAAAGTTTAAATCAAAGGGGTAAGTCGACAAGAGAGCTTAATATGTGGTTTGCTCCAGCTCCTCCTGTATGTGGGTAGCTGACCATGTTTCCAATGCCCAGGACCAGCATGTGTGCAGGAAGTGGCTTCAGCTGCAGTTCCCATAAGCCTGCATTTTGGAGCTGGAGCAGTGGCTGGGAACACTGTGGAGCATTCGCAAAGCTGAGCATATTGTGGATACCATGTACAGAGAGGTGGTCACAGGACAGGCCGAGTCTCCACAGGCAGAACGGGAATGGGTAAACACCAGGTACAGTAAAGAGATCTAGGAGGCAGTACAGGAACCCTCTGTGGCTATTCCCCTATAAAACAGATATAAAGCTTTGGATACTGCTGGGGGCAATGGCCTCTCTGGCTAACCAGTAAGAGTCCAATTTGTTGCACCACAGTTGGCTCTGCTGTATGAGAGAGGAGGGGTAAGTGTGGGAATGCAATAGTTATAGGAGATTCAACTGTAAGGGGAATAATTAAAGATAGTAGGAACTGCCGATGCAGGAGAATCTGAGATAACAAGGTGTAGAAGGGTGTTTCTGTGACTGCAAATAAAATTCCAGGATAGTACTATGGTACTATGGTCAAAGGTCTCTCAGAGCAGCTCCCAGGACATTCTGGAGGGAGACCGTGACCAAGCAGTGGTCATAGTACACATTGGTATCAGCAAAAAGATTTTCATAAAGGGCTGAGGTCCTCAAAGTTGAATATAGAGAGTTAGGATATAGGTTGAAAAGTAGTGCCTCAGGTCTGAGAAAAATAATTTTCATCCCTAACATGGTAAATATATAGAATGTGCTGTCTGAGGGGATGGTGGAGGCAAGTCCATTTTCACTTCTCCTGACTCACCACCCTCACTTTCCACCTCCAAAAACACCTCCCTCAACATCACTTCTCCAGATTCCCTTTTTTATAGGAGAGATACTAAATGCTCAGTTTTTTTTTTAAATCCCATTACCAAGTCACCCTTTATTTACATGTGCACAGTACACTGGCTGTGGCCAGCCAGCTTGGAGTCAGTCCCTTGAACTGAGGAGATTCTAATTTTTTTTATATATACTTCTGCAATACAGCATCGGTGCTTATTTTTCACACAGCACCTGTGTTATTTCAAGAGTAATGGAAATTTAATGGAGACATTAAGGAAGAAATTGGATTATTATATAATAAAAGGAATAATGTGCAGAGCTATGAGGAGAAGGGTGTGACATGAGGTGCTTCTTCAGAGACCCAGCTTAGACAGTGATGGGCTGAAAGTTCTCTAACCACTTTATGATTGAATAGGTTTTATTTATGAAAATGAGGTTTTGGACAGGCTGGAATGCAAGAATTTAATGAGTTAAAGAGTGCGCAAAATGATCTGGATTCAAATTGGATAGAATCTATAAAGTTAGATGGTATTATGAGTTGTCTGAGAAAGGGATTTGGACGGGCTACAGTGTATGTGGAAGGGTGAGAAATTGGATGGAGTTCAGTATGTATGCAAATTATGGAGATTTGGATTAGATTAATTAATTAACGTTCAAGAAGTTGAGGAACTGGATCAGTCATAATTGCCTTTTGGGAAGTCGGAAGGGGTACAGTTTGCCTGAAATAGTGAAGAATTGCCTGGGTTTCAGTGTCGTAACAAAATGGATATCTGTAAATAGAATGATGTGGAGGTGCAGGCGCTGGACTGGGTGGACAATTTCAGAAATCACGCAACACCAGATTATAGTCCAACAGGTTTATTTGAAATCACAAGCTTTTGAAGCATTGCTTCCTCCATCAGGTGAGGTATACAGGCACAGAATTTATAGACAGCAAGATCAAAAAATTGTACAATGGTGAGAGTGGAGTGTCGACAGGCTGAATAACAAGTCTCTGCGGGTGATCAAAAGTGTCAGACGGTCTGAGTAAAGTGTTAACAGCTGAATAGCAAGCGAAAATATTACCAATGATCAGATTAATTGAAGCAGAATAATAATTACAAAAAATTAAAAATAAGATGGTGCTGGAGATAATCCAAATGGATGGAATTACATGATGGATGTAAGAGTTGCATGACGAGGGTCGAACCAATGTAACAAGTAATCCAAAACTGTACAGACTAATTAAGGTAGAGAGATCATAACAAGTTGTCAAGGTGATGGTGTCAAAACAGGACAGTAAGGAAGATTTACAAACACAGAACAATATGGTGGGGTTAATGTAGAGTGACATGAACACAAGATCACAATTGAGGCCAACCTCATGGGTGCGGAATTCGGCTGTCAGTTTCTGCTGGGCGATTCTGGGTTGTTGTGTATCTTGAAGGCTGCCCCAAGATTAGGAGCCGAAGGTCCTTGACGACTGAAGTGTTCGCCGACTGGGAGGGAACATTCCTGTCTGGCAATTATTGCGCAGTGTCCATTCATCTGTTGTTGTAGCGTCTGCGTGGTCTCATCAACATACCATGCATTAGAATGTCCTTGCCTGTAGCATATGAGGTAGACGACATTGGCTGAGCCACATGAGTATCTGCCGTGTACGTGGTGGGTGGTGTTTCCACGTTTGATGGTAGTGTCCATGTCAATGATCTGGCATGTCTCGCAGAGCTGCAAGACTTGTCATGGCAGGGCTGCGTGGTGTTGTGTTCGATGTTGCCCTGAAAGCTGGGTAGTTTGCTGTGAACGATGGTGTGTTTAAATTTTGGCAATTGTTTGAAGGTGAGAAGTGGAGGCATATGGATGATCTTGGCAAGATGTTTGTCGTCATCACTGACATGTTGAAGGCTGCAAGAACATGGTGTAATTTCTCCGCTTTGGGGAAGTTCTGCATGATGAAAGATACTCTATTGGTCATGTGCTATGTCTGTCTTCTAAAGAGATCTTTGTGGTTTCTCGTTGTGGCATTTTGGAACTGGCAATCGATGAGTTGAGAGTTGTATCTCATTCTTATGAGGCTGTCCTTCAAAATCTTTAGGTGTCTGTTGCATTCCTCCTTGTCTGAGCAGATCCTGTGTATATTCAGGGCTTGTCCCTAGGGGATAGCTTCTTTAACATGTTTAAGGTGGAAGCTAGAGAAGTACAGCATTGTGAGGTTATCTGTGGGCTTGTGGTAGAGTGAGGTACTGAGGTCAAAGAACAAAGAACAAAGAACAAAGAAAATTACAGCACAGGAACAGGCCCTTCAGCCCTCCAAGCCTGCGCCGATCCACATCCTCTATCTAAACCTGTTGCCTATTTTCCAAGGATCTGTATCCCTCTGCTCCTTGCCCAATCATGTATCTGTCGAGATACATCTTAAATGATGCTATCGTGCCCGCCTCTACCACCTCTGCAGGCAATGCGTTCCAGGCACCCACCACCCTCTGCGTAAAGAACTTTCCACGCATATCTCACTTAAATTTTTCCCCTCTCACTTTGAAGTCGTGACCCCTAGTAATTGAGTCCCCCACTCTGGGAAAAAGCTTCTTGCTATCCACTCTGTCTATACCTCTCATGATTTTGTAGACCTCAATCAGGTCCCCCCTCAACCTCCGTCTTTCTAGTGTAAATAATCCTGATCTACTCAAACTCTCTTCATAGCTAGCGCCCTCCACACCAGGCAACATTCTGGTGAACCTCCTCTCCAAAGCATCCACATCCTTTTGGTAATGTGGCGACCAGAACTGTACGCAGTATTCCAAATTTGGTCGAACCAAAATCCTATACAACTGTAACATGACCTGCCAGCTCTTGTACTCAATACCCCATCTGATGAGTGAAAGCATGTTGTATGCCTTCTTGACCACTCCGACCTACCTTGCCACCTTCAGGGTACAATGGACCTGAACACCCAGATCTCTCTGTGCATCAATTTTTCCCAGGGCTTTTCCATTTACCATATAGTTCGCTCTTGACTTGGATTTTCCAAAATGCATCACCTCGCATTTGCCTGGATTGAACTCCATCTGCCATTTCTCTGCCCAGCTCTCCAATCTATCTATATTCTGCTACATTCTCCGACAGTCCCCTTCACTATCTGCTACTCCACCAATCTTAGTGTCATCTGCAAACTTGCTAATCAGACCGTCTATACCTTCCTTCAGATCATTTATGTATATCACAAACAACAGTGGTCCCAACACAGATCCCTGTGGAACACCACTGGTCACAGTTCTCCATTTTGAGAAACTCCCTTCCACTACAACTCTCTGTCTCCTGTTGCCCAGCCAGTTCTCTATCCATCTAGCTGGTACACCCTGGACCCCATGCGACTTCACTTTCTCCATCAGCCTACAATGATGTCCTTGATGGAGATGCATGTGTCCAAGAATGAGACTGATTCTGAAGAGTAGTCTATGGTAAATCTGATGGTAGGATGACACTTGTTGATATCGTTGTGTAGTTGTTTCAGTGATTCCTTGTCATTAGTCCAAAGGAAGAAAATGTTGTCGATGTATCTGGTGTATAGTGTTGGTTGGAGT